TCATCCTTTTCCTCCAGCTGCACCTGAACGGAGTGGGAAGAAGTTAAAAAAAAAAGAGAAGAGGTGGAAGAATGGGGGAAGCACTCCTTTTTTGAAACACCTTGGCTTCCTCCTCCTCTTCCACTCCTGACTTTCTCGCTGTCTCTCTCTCTCTCTCTCTGACACACAGAAACCCTTCCTGCTTTCTCTTTCTTCTCACCCTTTCTGCCCTGGTAAAGCAGAGCCATGTGAAGAGAAGCCCAGCAAAGTGGGGCATGGCCGGGTGTGATGGGGTTAAGCTGGGAGGGGTGGGGTGGGCTAAGGCAAATGAGCTGCACACTACCAGCCCACCAGGGCACCCAGCTGGGGTGGGATGGGGCAGGGCAGGGCAGGGCGGTCCCTTGCCATTTCTGGGACAGCCCCAGGGGGGAGGCAAATCTGGGCCCTGGATCCAGCCCACGGGCCTTGTGTTTGACATATCTGGCTTAGGAAAAGAAAAATAAAACACTTGAATAGAAGCAGCATTTTTTTTCATGAACTTGCTGCAGTGCAGGTGGTATAAATTCTATTGTTATGCTAAAGGGTTGAGAAATTGCCCTACTCAGACTTCAGAAATAGAAAGGTGATTGATGATTTAATTCAGGCAGAACTTTATATCTACCATGTTTTTCAGAGGATAGATTATACCAGAAACAGTTTGCTATCAACTTACTTAGTCTCTTTTTCCACAGACCCTGCGAGACATTGTCATTGGTGTATTGCAACGACTGAAGAGCCAACTCTACTAATCAAAAAGAAAGCTTTGAAGGGGCCTAATATAATTTGAAGATATGGCCAAAAAGCTTTATTCCTTCCAGTAATTCCATTTCAAGCTTTTTTAGGGCTACAGGTTGGGTTTACCTCTGGAATTCCCTGAATTTATACTGCAAGCTCTTTAGATGAGCAGAAAAATAATCAGTTCTCAATTCCTGGGGATTGCTTGTTGCCATCTCTTTTTCAAGCCTTGGCTCCACACGTTCCTATGCATTAATGTAACTGATCTAATAGAAAGATATTTACAATATACCAGGGTTTCACAATGAGCCAAATTCTTTTCTTAAACTTACAGAAACACCGGGCTGTCTCTTCACCTCAGTTTGGTAAATACTTTTTCTAAATGCCTAGATGTTATATCCCAGGTTTGGTTCAAGGAGCAGAAATTAGGTTTAATTATTATAAAACAACTGTTTTACATATTACCGTGGCTTCATTTAGCGTTTACCTTGGGTTAAGGGCAGAGAACCAGGGAAGTTAAGCAATAAATTGCCTTCTTTTGTATAATACATAGGCCCTAGTAAGTCATCTAGCAACAACCTGTTGTGTAGCCAACCTCCAGCTTTTTAAAATTAACATATGCAATCATTATTTGCCTTCAATTCTATGGATTAAAAATCTGAATAAGCTTATCAATTATGTTGTAGTAGCAATAAAAGGAAAAATATCTTTTAGTCTCTTGCAGCCTTGGTTTCTAATAATGCAATGAAGTAAATTAAGCTCCCTTCTGCAACTCCTTTTTTGTTTATTTTTTGCTGCAAAGGCACTGTCTTTTATAGGCACTGCTTTCTGGATCTACTGCTGGTTGGTGGAGAAGGACATTAACTCAGACAAGACCTTGCTATTTTTTTATTATGACATGCAGTTCTAATAAATTTGCTATGTGGTTGAATGATTTTGTTGGCTTTGCTTGATTGTATCTAAAATATTTTAGAAGACTCTGGACCTGGGTATTTAGGTTGAAATTATTCTAGTTACTTCATGGTAATTATATAAAATGCTAGTTTCCAGACCGGGGTGTGTGTGCTATCCTTTTCATATTATTTTGGATTCTGAGTCATATATAATGATGCACTGACATTTTTAGGTGGGAATGTCCCACAATATTGGTTCTTATGTGAGGAGGGGTCAGCAGCTTTAAATGTTTAAATGGGTGTATTATACATCTGGCTTAAGGCGTCAGTATTACCTTTAGCAAAAATAAAGTCCTTGCACTACTGAAAATTTGTATTTTCCTCCCAATCTTTGGCAACATGATCTTGTAGTGAGATTGCCAGTCACATGCAACCATACAGGAATATGCCTAATCCAATAGCCACTTGCCAACTTTTTAATGCCAATTTTCCAAGGTATATAATTTTTCTTCTATGTAATAAAGAGGTAAACCCAGTTGTTCTCCCTCCCACAATTGCCCAATTAGCTTGGAGAAAATGTATTAAATTTGTTTGCATCTCTCAAGGTGCCTTTCATAGCATAAAGCAAAGCATGATGGCTAAGTAACAACTGACATTAAAATTTTCCTAATCCTTGGTGGCATAATTAGCTCACTCTAATTAGCAACACTATTAGTGTTGGTATAATGGCATAATATGCTATTGATACAATATGCAGGCCGATTACAGAGAAAACAATACTATCAGAAATTCAAATATTTATTTTAAACCCTTTCCCAGATTTTCTCAAGTGCTTACTAAACCTTTGTTCTAACTACTTTAAGAACAAAACAAACTGATTAGGAAGTCCTATGGTGAAATACTAGAAAAAAACTAAACAATGTAATGTGAGGTGTGCTTATCCCCAGTGTATGCAAATAGTTTTAGATTTTAAAAATCAGAGCAACATAGAATATGAGGAACTGAAACTTGAATGCTTAGATTTCAGTTACGCAGATGAGATCTTGGTTCACACAGAGGGTACTGTAACATTGAAATCTTCATCTGTCTCAATGCCAACTTCCTCCTGAACAAGAAACAACACATATTCTTTTAAGGTGTAATAAATGAAAATAAGAGCATTTTGCAGACCATATCCGGCCCAGTAGTTGAACTGCTCCACACTTGAAACTGACCAAGAAATGCCTGCTTAGTAAGCTTGTGGTTCTCAATATCAGTTTACATGTAATACTCACAAAGAACTGTTTCTTGCTTTTTGGGTAACCTTCAAGGATTGCATCAAGTAATTCCGTTGCCTGTAGAGAAAGTTATGTCACATGTTTAGTTGCCATCCTTTCTACTAAAGGATTGGCAGGCAGAAATAACAACAAAGAAGATCTGGCCATTATAGGAGAAAATACTTGAATTTGTCTAGTTACGGTAGTTAAAACATGGCTAGTAAGCAACAGGAAAGTTATTCCCTAAATCTCCTGAAAACAAAATTTCTCAGAATAACATAATCCATAATAAAGACAAAAATCACTTTTCAAAATCTATAAGTCTATAGATCAGGGGTGTCAAACTCGCAATGTCACATGACATGTTGCAGCATCACGACTTTTTTTCCATTGCTGGCAATAGGGTGAGCACGGTTTCACCATGACACATCCGGCCCAGGGGCAGGCAGTTTGACACCCCTGCTATAGATCTATATAAGTCATATCTATAAGTCATAACACTATCATTTTACTTAAATATGTATCAAAAAGAAATAAAAACTGATAAATTGAAAGACAAAAAGGACAAGTATAAAAAGTGGAAAGAGGGGCATATAACTAAGGCAGAATATCAGCAAATAGCCCAAGCCTGTAAAGATGAAGTGAGGAAAGCTAAGGTTCAAAATGAACTAAAGCTTGCGACAAAAGTAAAAAATAACAAAAAAAGCTTCTTTCAACATGTAAAAACAAGAAAAAGTTAAGGAAATGATTGATCCATTGGTGGGAGAAAGTTGCAAGAAGGTGACAAGCAACAGGGAGAAAGCAGAACTAAGAAAGCAGAGCAACTAAGGTGATCAAAGGCCTGGAGACTAAAACATATGAAGAACGGCTGTAGGACTTGGGTTTGGTTAATCTAAAGAGAAGAAAAAATAGGGGCAACATGATAGTATTCCAGTATTTGAGGGGCTGCCACAAAGAAGAGGGCATCAAAGTATTCTCCAAAGCACCAGAGGGCAAGACAAGAAACAATGGTTGGAAACTAACCAAAGAGAGAAGCAACCTGGAATTAAGGAGAAACTTCCTGACAGTGAGGACAATTAACCAGTGGAACAGCTTGCCTCCAGAAATTGTGGGCGCTCCATCAAGGAGATTTTTAAGAAGAGGCTAGACAGGCACTTGTCTGAGATGGTATTATAGGTTCTCCTGCTTGAGCAGGGGGCTGGACTAGAAGACCTCCATGGTCCCTTCCAGATTTCTATTCTATTCTATTCTATTCTATTCTATTCAACTTATTTTTTGCATCTGTTTTTACACAAAGGGAAAAAAAAACAGTCCAACCTACTGTAAAAAAAAATAGATTAGAAACACAAATTAAGATAGGCAAGAAAATGGTAAGTGAGCACCTGTCCACCCTAGACGAGTTCAAATCATCAGGACCAGATGGATTACACCCCAAGGTTCTGAAGGAACTGGTAGATGTGATCTCAGAATCACTGAACTATATTTTTCAAAGATCCTGGAGCTCTGGGGAACTACCAGAGGACTGGAAAAGAGCTGATGTAATTCCCATCTTTAATACAGGGAAAAAAATGGATCCAGGAAACTACAGACCTATCAGCCTGATCTCAATACCTGGGAGGATTCTGGAAAAGATAAGCAACGAATCAGCGAACACCTAGAGGCAAACAAAGTCATTACCAAAAGTCAACATGTGTTTGTCAAAAACAGATCATTTGCCATTGCGAGCTCCATCTTTCATGTCCAAATTTGTCTTGCTGGGGGACCCTGGAAAGGATCGAAAGTCGTCCTGTACGGGTGACAAGCAAGGAGAGGACCCCCACTTGATCACAGGAGGGCAGCAGCCCTTCCATCTGATCCCGGGTGGCCCTCCAAACTGGCGAGGGAAAGACTGGCCATAGCAATATGGCTCGTCACTAAGCTGCTGACAACCGAAGTCAAAGCACCTTTAAAGCAACGCGGATGAAACTGGGTGAGATCTGATCTTCTCTTTAAGACTTTAAATATCTTTTCTTGTAAAAGCTGCCCAAAGTATTTTTCCCCGTGAGGAGAGAGAGAAGGGAACTTTTACCCCACCCGCTTAATAAAAGCAGCGACTAATTACCCAGGGGAATCAGAGCAACTATAAGAACAATTTTAATCTAATTGGATGTATATGCTTTTGAAACTTGGGGACTAAAAGTTTTCCTATTCTTACTGAGACGTTTGTTTTTATCTAAAAAAAAGAAATAAAACTTGAAAAACTATCATAAAAACTTTGAACTTAAAAAGCTTTAAACAGCATCGGTGACATCTTGTGGCAAAGTATGGTATTACAACTTATTATTGCCTAAAAGAGACTTCGCTTGAAGCCCAGACTCTAGAAAAAACTCTTTTGACCTTGACAGATACCACCTGTGAAAAACTCAGCTGTAAAGAATGAACTTCTGGACAGCATATCTGGCCTGTTTGAATTATGAATATAAAACCTTTACTGATTTTCAGAGTTATATGTGGGGAATTGCTTTCCTATTTCTTTACATGAGAAGCATCTGTCATTACACGAGATGATGGAATACCTTGGACTATAAATTCTTACTTGGCAAACAATTCCCACTATAAAGACTACCTACAACATGTGAAATAGATGTTCCATACCCAGTTATAAAAAACAAACTATTTTTAATGTTTGATTTTAAAGTCTTCAACTTAACACATTACCAAGAGAATATGGATGAAGATCAGAAAAAAAATCCTTTCTATGTTGAAATCAATACACGAAACCATTCTTTCAGCTTGTGACAAAATAAGAGGCAACATAAAGGAACAAGATGCCAGCTTAGATATACAAACCCAGATTTTGATTACAACCAAAGAACTAACAATGCAGAAAATAATAGAAGAAGTGGAACAACTAAACACTAAGACAGAGGGCTCAATTGACCAACACTGAAAATGGAAAAGACTTTTTACATAAATCAGAAGAAATTTGAGGAAAAGGAAGAAGAACAGATTGAATGGAAGGTAAACCTATCAGGACAATTGTAGGAAATTGGAGTAATAGGGAGGCGATCTAATAAATACAAATGGGCTAGTTGTTCCAAAAAAACTGTAATCAAATGGTCTTTCTTATTTCAAATAATATATAATAATAGAGGGAGAACTGTTTGATGATTCAAAAGTATGGACATGGAAGGTTAGTTGGCAAAGGAAGAAAGCCAGAGTAAGGCTGAAGGAAAGTAGGGTTTTGATTTATTAGAGGGATTTCATATTATTGATTAGAGGGTTGAATATGGTGGAAAATAGATAATTTTTAGAAAATAAAGTAACATTATAATTGAATAGGTAAGATGTGTAACAAGACTAATAGACTTTTGGTTTAATATAGTGGAAAATAGATAACTTTTAGAAAACAGAATAAGACTATATGCAAATAGATAAGATGTATATTTAGAATATTAGATTTTGTTATGAAAAGGGAAAAAGGAAGAAGTTGAGATAAGGGAAACTTTGGTTACCTAAAGCTTGGAAATTATAAATACCAAATGTTAATTTGAATATTGATGGGAACTTAAAGCTTCGGAAAAAAGCAATAACAGGACATTGATTATATACAAGGATTGAATGCAAACACAATTAAGATATGTATAAGCTAAAATTATTGATAAATGTAACAAAGATGGTTTTACTTAGTTGATAATAAGAACTATATTAGCTAATATGAGATAGTAGATATTAAGGGAAAAAGAGAGGAAATATCTGATGTTGTAACTTGAGATTTGTACTAAAGATTTATGTTTGTTATTGAATTATTGATTAACCCGTCACGTTGTTTTTTAAATACTTAATTGTAAAGTTAGAAAATTAATAAAATATTATCAAAAAAACAAAAAACAAAACAGATCATGCCAGACAAATCTTATTGCATTATTTGACAAGGTGACAAAATTAGTGGACTAGAGGAATGCTGTGGATATAATTTACTTGGACTTCAGTAAGGCTGACCGGCTGTACTCAGTGTGTAGTCCTCAATGGAACCGCATCTACATGGAGGGAAGTGGGTAGTGGAGTGCCCCAGGGCTCTGTGCTAGGCCCAGTGCTCTTTAACATCTTCATCAACGATTTGGATGAGGGAATAGATGGGGAACTCATCAAATTTGCAGACGACACCAAGCTGGCAGGAATAGCCAACACTCCAGAAGATAGGCTTAAGATACAGAAGGATCTTGACAGATTTATATATTGGGCGCTATCTAACAAAATGAAATTCAGTGGTGAAAAAAGTAAGGTTCTACATTTAGGAAAAAAACCCCAAATGCACAGGTATAATATAGGTCAGTGATGGCGAACCTTTTAGAGATCGAATGCCCAAACTGCAACCCAAAACCCACTTATTTATCACCGGGTGCCAGGTGGGCGTGGCCCACTGGATGGGCGTGGCTGTGGTGGTCATGGCAGATTGGGTGGGTGTGGCCAATGTGGGTGTGATCACCTCGATGTTGCTCGTGTGGGGGCTGGGTGGGGTTGGGGGAGATCCAGGGGGTCTCTAGCAGATGGGGCGATGGGCAGGAGGCTCGTCCTGAGGGGTGAGGCAAGGCAAGGCAGGGCGAGGGTGTCATTGTCACAGGGAAACATGAGGCAGGGGCTGGGGCGGCTGACACCATCGGCCCCTGCACACAGAGGCCAGCAAGTGCATGGGTGCTGGGATGCATTCGGCCATGTGGGACCTCGGCCAGTTAGCGGGCGGCTGGTTGAAGAGGGATGGTTGCCATCTCTGGGGCATGGCGCACGCGCCCACAGAGAGGGCTCTGAGTGCCGCCTCTGGCACGCGTGCCATAGGTTTGCCATCACTGATATAGGTGATACCCTGCTCCATTATAGTAACTGTGAGAGGGATCTCGGAGTCCTAGTGGACAATCACTTAAATATGAGCCAGCAGTGTGCTGCAGCTGCCAAAAAAGCCAACACAGTGCTAGGCTGCATTAACAGAGGGATAGACTCAAGATCACGTGAAGTGTTAATACCACTTTACAATGCCTTGGTAAGGTCACATTTGGAATACTGCATCCAGTTTTAGTCACTATGATGTAAAAAAGATGTTGAGACTCTAGAAAGAGTACAAAGAAGAGCAACAAAGATGATTAGGGGACTGGAGGCTAAAACATATAAGGAACGGTTGCTGGAATTGGGTATGTCTAGTTTAATGAAGAGAAGGACGAGGGGTAACATGATAGCAGTGTTCCAATATTTCAGGGGTTGCCACAAAGAAGAGGGAGTCAAGCTATTTTCCAAAGCTCCTGAAGGCAGGACAAGAAGCAACGGATGGAAACTAATCAAGAAGAGAAGCAACCTAGAACTAAGGAGAAACTTCCTGACAGTTAGAACAATTAACCAATGGAACAACCTGCCTCCAGAAGCAATGAATACTCCAACACTGGAAGGTTTTAAGAAGAGACTGGACAGCCATTTATCTGAAATGGTATAGGGTTTCCTTCCTGAGCAGGAAGGAAACCCTTCCAAGGTCCCTTCCAAATTATTATTGTTGTTGTTGTTGTTGTTGTTGAGAAAAAAAGAAACAGTCACTTCCATCTTAAGGAGATACAAAATTTCATATTAAATTCTTATTAAAAAGAAAAAATGGAAATTTGTTAAAAAACAAAAAAAACGATTTAAGAAAAATAACTGAAGTATTTTTCACAATTATTTGTTGCTTTGCTACCTTTTCAATAATGCCATATCCTATTTTTTTTTATAATTGAGTCAAAAGGTCAAGTGTTTGGTTTCCAAGAATTTTGTGGTCTAACAATTTACACAAAATGAAGGTGGAGTTCTTAGAGCACACATAACTTTCCACATTGCTACATTTTTCACCAGCTGAAGCTTTTGGCTACTTTTTAAGGGCAGCCCCATGTACAATGTGTTACAATAATACATTCAGGAGGGCATGAGTGATTGAGACTATATCAATCATTCTTTCCATTATCTAGAAATGAATAGCCCATGTCTCAGACAACATCCAAGCCAAGAAAGTTATATTCTATTTTCAACTAACTAGTACATATTTTAATCTTGTATTTTATATTTTAAATTTTATGTCATAGTATGTCTTATTTTAATTATGATGCTTCTGACATGAATCGGAAAATAATTTTCAATACAAAGAGAAGAAGAATGCACCATTTAGTTTACTAGATAATAGGCAGGAATCCCTGCATTCAATAACGAGATTAAATTTTGCATGCATAGTGAGTCTGTAGCTGTATACTGTAAGCCATTAGTTGAATCTTTTACATTTGAAAATATAGGATATTTAGAATGTATTTTGTTGGTTTCCTAGATACACACTCAACACAATTATATCATTTTTTAAAATCATAAATAATTATGTCTCTTACCATTCTCTTGCGGCGACGCCATTCTCTGCAGTACAGCTTTTTCTCATTGCACACCTACAATCAACAAAACCAAAGCAAATCTGTTTTCAGGTCCAATGAAACAGCTCAGACTACAGCCAGCTTTGATATAGGAACCAAAGTTGCAGCATCAAAAACTGAGTGTTAACAAACTGCCTGCAAGAAAAGGGCCTCAAAAGAGAATTCATGTTTATCCCCATTTAATGCCAATTAGAATTAGATTTTAATTAGACGATTTTCACTGCTCTTGATGTACACTAGGTTATGGGAGTTCCCCAGAATTATTAGCAAATAAATATTTACAATGTTGCAAGTTTCTGTACAATTTATTGGCTAATGACCTGTGCCATAAACTAAACTTAATGGGCATGTAGCTTATCATATTAGAGTACTATGAAATTTGATATAGTCTTCTACATATTAAGCTTGATGTTAGTCTACACCTACTTAATGCTTCTACTCTTTCTTTTAGATTTTTATATATACTTTCTATTTTATATCTTTTAGCTTTTCATATTTTTTTAATCTGTATTTTTAACTGAGTGTGCCTCACTCTCCATATGCTGGTCTATTACCATAATAAAGATTTGATTATTAGCAAATGTGTTTTGGAGTCCTGGGACTCTTCGCTCTCTGATGCTTCACTTAATTTTGAAATACTCTGAACCTCCACAGCCCTTATATATAGTTGGTATAGGATAGCAGCCTGAACCATCCTATTCTCTGCCACTGGAGCTTTGTTACCCTTAGCAGTTTTGTTACCTTTTCTTTCTCCTCAGGGGTCACATGATTGGCAGATTTAATTCGTTCCAGTTTCTCCGTATAATTGGCACAGTCTTTTTTTAACTCTTCAATTTCTTTAGCCATCTCTGGGGTTGTCCTAGAGCCCTTCAGTTCTTTCAGTTCTGGAATGGAATTATTAGTTACAATAGCTGAGAAGGCGCTTGTCAGTGGGACAGGCATTCAAGCTGCAGCTCAGATATAGTCCCCAAAGGTTCCATGCCATTCAAGCATTCAATTGCACAGGTATTTACACTCAACACATTGATTTAACCATCCTGAACATACCTGATTCCATGTGACGACAGTTCTGTTGCAGTGTCTGAATTTTGCAAGACAGTTCTGAAATCTCATTGTCCAAGCCCTTGAGTTCTGATTCACACATATTACCAAAACGATTCTGGAAAAACATGTATAGGACAGAGCATTAATCTAAGATGACCAGCAGAATGTATGTTTTCTATTATGATATCATGGAATAAACCACATTCCAAAAATCAACACGTTTTTGTGAAAACAAAACTCTCATCGCTTATCTTTGTACTATCCTTATAGTATGTTCAGCCAAAGCACTTCTCTTCCAAAACAATCATTATCAATTTGCAAATAATTTTCAGCTGGGAAGCAATTTGCTTATTTAATAAAAGTGTAAAACAGCATCTCCAAGCTTGTTTCTCTGGTGCTTAAAAAAATTGATGCAACAGTATAAAACTATTTGTCTTGTAATATTAAGTTTCAAATTAATTTATATAAGAAAATTTGGCCATCTGTTCATCTAGTTCAGTATTCTGTCAAATGTTGGCTAAATGGATTCATCTGGGAAGCTTACATGCCTCTACTAGAGAGTGATAACTTTCCACTTTAGTTTCCTGGTAACCAATATTTTTCATTTATGTAGTTCTTTTGTTAGATTTCTATCCCACCTTCCTTCAGAAATTCAGAATGCATGAAGAATGATGGCATTCCCTCAATTTACCCTTGCAAAGAACAGCTCCATGAGATTGGTCGGCAGAGACAGTAACTGGCCCAAAGTCATTCGGGGGATAAGAAGGGATGTGAATGTGGGTTTCCTATGTCCCAGGCGAACACCACAGCATGCATTCAGCTATGCATTAACAACCAGAGCTGTCTAGATCAGGGGTCCCCCAACCCCTGGGCGATGGCCTATTTGCAACCAGGCCAGGGGCCGGTGCACCCGCAGCTTGATTCATGCAAGCAGCAGACCGGTGCACACGCTCATGTGCAACTCAACCTGCGTAAGCGGTGGGCCAGTGCACATGTGCATGCACATGCAGCTCAACTTGCAGTCCAGCTGCATGTGCATGTGTGCGCGCGCGCTGGCCTGCTGCTTGCATGGCCTGGTTCCCCTCTCCCCCACCCCAGCCAGGCTGCCAAGCCACAAAGGTAATAATTTAATAGCTAAACAGTTTATGTAATGATGTGATGTAATGTAATATAAGGTGGATGATGCAATGATAGGAATGACTCAGCAGGGACTTTTTCTGTGTCTGTATCTTTTAAGAGCCTGAGTATAAAAGGGAAGGTTTTGCTGAAGTGTCTCTCTCTGTCTCTCGTGCATTTTCTGCTGAAATTGCTGTGTTGGAGTTTGCTGTATTATCATGTATATGTATTTTGTTCCTGGTGTACATTGTAGATAGTGTATGATAAATTACCATTTAATACAAACCACTGTTTACTGTATTTACTCCTGGGTTATCTCAGTACAATAAGACTGCATGCTCTGACACCTATGTCCCAGGTGAACACTACGGCATATATTCAGCCATGCATTAACAACCAGAGCTGTCTAGATCAGGAGTCCCCAACCCCCAGGCAATGGCCTATTTGCCACCAGGCCATGGGCTGGTGCACCTGCAGCTTGATTCACGCAAGCAGCGGGCCAGTGCACACGCACATGTGCAACTCAACCTGCGCAAGCAGCGGGCCGGTGCACATGTGCATGCACATGCAGCTTGACTTGCAGTTAAGCTGCATGTGCATGTGTGCACGCTGGCCTGCGGCTTGCATGGCCTGGTTTCCCTCTCCCACCAGCCAGGCTGCCAAGCCACAAAGGTTGGGGATCACTGGTCTAGATCCATCTTATGTACCAGCTTACTATACATCTTCCTGTTGGCTATTCCTGCTGGGTGTTCAGATATCCAGATAGACGCCCAAACAAATGCTTAATGTAGCTAACCAATAAGACAAACTGAGATCAGAAGTTAATTCTAACTTGTAGAAGTGTTGAGCTGGCATTCCAACTTGTAGAAGTGTTGGGCTGGCATCAGAGTCTTTTAAGTTACTAAAAGACTCTGGAAAAGAGAAGCTGAAGATGTGTAACAGCTGATATATAAGATGGATCTAGACAGCTCTAGTTGTTGATATTGGTTATTGGTTTTAGAAAAGTACATGGATATTGTCAGTCCTGAAACAGTCTGAATTAGTTATCTTGCTTTTTTCCCCTGGGGTAGTAAAGTTAAATTTAAGTTTCACAGAAACAGTATGGCATTTCACCTGATCTGGAAAATAAATCTTCTGCTTCCCATAAACCTTCTCATTGATCTTCCCTTGCTGAGCCAGCTGCTCTAGTGCCTTCACTACAGCCTAAATCAAACAGAAAACAAGAAGATGCAGAATGAGAAGAATTCACAACAAAATGGAGGACTGAAATAAAAATTGCAAATTGTTTGAACATCAAAGGAGAATGAAAATTTGACAGAAAATTCTTTACTATAGAACTGAGCACAATTGTTGAAAATGCACATGGCAATTTCAGAAGAAATCTGCCAACTCAGGTAGCAGAGGTAGTTGGGAGTTAGTGTCAATATGTGAATGCATCAGCTTAAAGTGTAACATGCTGCACAACACAGTACAAATAAAAACTGATGCCATAAGCAGAAAAACAATGGTATTTCTTAACCAATCCGTTTCTTCAAGGATGGCTCATATCATGAACATTATTCATTATTCTTCTAGATTAGGCTTATGTTAAAATATTAAATTAATTTGCAGAATTTAAAAGATACGTAGCATACATTTGGAAAGTGAAGTGCAATACAATTTTGACCATTGGAGATAATACAAGTCCCACAGTGCACTTCTGACACCTTGTCTTACCGTCTTGCCCAATCCATGTTGTTGCTGTAAGTTGCTAAAGACATCCTGAGCACTATGAGGCCGGTTCTGCTCCTGAAGATAACGTAGCAGGATGGCAGCACATTCTCCAAATCAAAAAGGGAAAAAGAAAATTATAATGACAAACTAGCATATGAGGAAACCCCAGAAGGAAATAGTGTCTTTTCTCATAGATAGTTTAATATCTGGAGGATGAATAACAGATATTCTCCATGTATTAAAAAAATTGTAAGGGTTAGGGTTACTGCTTACTGCAAAGCTACTAAACACCATGCAGCTTTGTCAATATTCCATCAATTATTATGGTAGAGATTCTGTGATATCTTACAATTATATCTTGTATTATTTAGATTACAGTACTGAATTCATTCGTAGACCAGTGGCTAATGATAAGTATAAAAAAATAGTATTTTTTTCTTTTCTTCTTAGTTTGCATTTTTAGCTGGCTTTTTTATTTTCTTTTTAAAAGAGTAAACACTGTTTTGTTACAAAATAAATACATATCACAAAAAGAGGAAAAAAACACGTTCCACTGCAGCTTTCTCTATTTGGCATTTTCACCCTCCATCGTCCAAACCAGCAACATTTCCACACTTTTCCTGGCGATGGTGAGAAGTGTAAAATATCACATTTGGAAGATGTCCGATTGGGGCATTGTAAAAAAAGAAAGGGAATGCGAAAATCCTACGTTCTACATCCTATAGTTGGGTTCGTTCACGAAGGACTTTCAAATGCTGGAAATAAGAGTTTGATTTTTTTTTTAAATAAAGGGAATTTCACGATAAGCACACTTTGCCTTGTACAGGAAAAGTGGAAGAGGACTACGGATCCACACAACAGTCTAGATCTCTTTCCTCTTTGTTTTTCTAGTTGCGTTACCATCAGATCCGTCGCGCTTCTTCCCTCCTCCACTCATCCTGATCAGGGCGGAGACTCCTATCGGAAGCGGAAGCTACTGCCTAAAACAGAGATTCCAAAAAAATAGACATAAGAAATCTATCGACTTCCGGGTTAAACTTTAACGTCATTTGGGATACGGTTGGGGATGCAAAGCTGTCTTTTGCCGTTTAAAACGTAATGCTGCTGAGAAGCAGCGACCAGTTCATCTCAGTCTCGGCTGGCGGGATTGAACACTGCCTTTGAACTCATAGGGACTATTAGAAAAAAAAAGAGAGCTAAGTACTGTAGATTTTCCTCTGCTGTTTTCTGAGAGGTAGTTGCGATGGAAGTTACTTCCTCTGTTTTTATTAAAAACCAGTGGCAGAAATGGCTGGGGATATTTATATTTATTATATTTATATTTATTATATTTTATTATTTTATAAATAACTCACGGGGCGAAAATGCCTACTATTCTTTCCTCCTTCTATTTTCCCTACAACAACCCTGTAAGGTGGGTTGGGCTGAGGGAGAATGACTGGCCCAAAGTCATCCAGCTGGCTTTCCTGCTTAAGATAGGATTAGAAATCATGGTCTCCTGGTGCTTTAATCAATAAACCAAACTTCATATTCAGTCCACTTTTTCCAGCATGACAGACTTCTCAATGTGACTGGGTCTTCCCATGTATCAAGAAGCAATCAATCAGAATAGAGCTGGAAGGGAATTCGTCTAGTTCAGAGCTCCCCAACCTTTTCGGCTTGGCGTCCTGGAAGGAAAGGGAGCAGCAGGGAAATGTGCTCATGTTTAAGTGATCCTCCACTAGGACTTCAAGGTCCCTCTCACAGTTACTATTTTTGAGCCAGGTCTCACCTAATCTGTACTTGTACCTTTGGTTTTTCCTGCCTCGGTGTAAAACCTTGCTTTTCTTCACATTAAAATATTTCCTTTATCTAAGCCATTTCAACTTTTTTATATTACTCAAGAAATAGAATAAAGAAGGGAAAAAAGCATACTATATTATTTAAGAGATTCATCCCTCTTAGAATGATATATATAGTCCAAGATATATATAGTCTTTTCTATTTCTTTAACCGTATTCAAACAAATGTTTCTTTTTTTAAGTATTTAATTTAATTTAATTTAATTTATAAGACTTATATGCCGCCCTTCTCCCCACGGGACTCAGGGCGGCTCACAGCATATTAAAACAACATAGTACATTTCCCCAATAAAAGCCAATTAAAAACCAAATATTTGTAGCTGTGTCTCTTATTAAAATCATTAAAAATTCTCTCTGGTAGGTCCCATCATCTATTTTCTTGATTTCCACTTTAGTCTTTTTCCTTTGCCCATTATCTGTCTTGATCAATGTGTTTTGCTGAGTCAAAAGGTCTTTTCATATGTTCAGAAATGTTACTATAGATATAAAAAGTAAATCAGATGAAGTGTCTTTGTACGGAGCTTTTGCCTTTCCATGTTTGTTGAAAATCCTTTTCTTTTTCTTCTCTTATCATTTTCTTTCTCTCTGATGTTCCTGCAATCTCTATTGTCCATTTTATCCAATCTATTTTCTTGTCCTCAGATTTATTTTGTAGTCTTAAGGGATAAGTTGTTTTTTCCAATTCTTACAATTTTTTCCCCACTAGGATTAAATCATGTTTCTTTGTTTTGTTAAGTTCCATCTTTAAGTCTCTATTCTCTGTTTTATCTGCTCCTTCTCTGTTGTTGTTTTCTGGGAATTTTTTTGTTGTAGAGTTAACTTGGAAATAGACTGATTTATATTTTCAAAGCTATTTTGGATTTCTTTGTGGTTTAAAATCATTGCTGTTTGAATTAGTTGCAGTATACTATATATTTCCTCCTGTGGAGTATTTATGTTTTCTTGATATGTTCTTTCTACATGTCTCTAATCCATGATGGCCAAGAATTTCATTTTTCCTCTTCTTTTCTTTTTTCTGCAAATAGCTTTAGAGTCCTGGTTAAATAGATATTTGTAATGCAAATAGTTCAAAAAAGATTATTTATTTATTTTTGAAATGTATCATTCTCTCTTTGTCTACAGCCCATATTATTGTCCTTTTTTGTCACAGCTGTTCTTTGTTTTTGTTTTTTTTAATTGAAAATTTTATAAAGTTTTACAATATAAATCCCCCCTTCCCCCACCCCCCCTTCCACTCCCCCCTCCCTCCCCCCTCACTTCCCAGTGCCAATCNTTCCACTCCCCCCCCCCTCCCCCCTCACTTCCCAGTGCCAATCACAGGGTTAACAATATTCTTTGTTGTTAAAGCTTTGAAGGTCACAAACACAGATTAGCTTTTGACAGGTTTTGCCAAGTCTTATATGAAAGTCATAGTTGTCATAGTCTTCATCCACCACTAGGTGTCAGCATCTATTTATTTTTCAATTTCCAAAATGAACAATTGTCTTTAGAATGAGAATCTTAACAATTCAACAATATTAGATTTATCCAGATTTAAGTTTTAAATTTCAGGTTTTATATAATGATGATGATGATGATGATGATGATGATAAAGATAAAGTTGGAAGGGAACTTGGAGGTCATCTAGTCCAACCCCCTGCTCAGGCAGGAAACTCTATACCATTTCAGACAAATGGCTGTCCAGTCTCTTCTTAAAAACTTCCAGTGTTGGAGCATTCACCGCTTCTGGAGGCAGGTTGTTCCACTGATTAATTGTTCTAATTGTCAGGAAGTTTCTCCTTAGTTCTAGGTTGCTTCTCTCCTTGATTAGTTTCCATCCGTTGCTTCTTATCCTGCCTTCAGGCACTTTGGAGAATAGCTTCACTCCCTCTTCTTTGTGGCAGCCCTTGAGATATTGGAATACTGCTATCATGTCCCCCTCGTCCTTCTCTTCATTAAACTAGACATACCCAATTCCAGCAACCGTTCCTTATATGTTTTAGCCACCAGATCTCTAATCATCTTTGTTGCTCTTCTCTGTACTCTTTCTAAAGTCTCAACATCTTTTTTACATTGTGGTGACCAAAACTGGATGCAGTATTCCAAGTGTGGCCTTACCAAGGCATTGTAAAGTGGTATTAATACTTCACGTGATCTTGATTCTATCCCTCTGTTAATGCAGCCTAGCACTGTGTTGGCTTTTTTGGCAGCTGCAGCACACTGCTGGCTCATATCTAAATGATTGTCCACAAGGACTCTGAGATCCCTCTCACAATTTCTACTATTGAGCAAGGTACCACTTATACTATACCTGTACATTTGGTTTTTCTTGCCTAAATGTAGAATTTTACTTTTTTCACTGTTGAATTTCATTTTGTTAGATAGCGCCCAGTGTTCCAGTTTGTTCAGATCCTCCTGTATGTTAAACCTATCTTCTGGAGTGTTGGCTATTCCTGCCAGCTTGGTGTCGTCTGCAAATTTGATGAGTTCCCCATCTATCCCCTTGTCCAAATCCTTGATGAAGATGTTGAAGAGCACTGGGCCCAGAACAGAGCCCTGGGCCACCCCACTACACACTTCCCTCCATGTAGATGCAGTTCCATTGAGCACTACATGCTGAGTATGGCCGGTCAGCCAGCTATGAATTCATCTGGTGGTGATGCTGTCTAACCCACATTTTTCTATCTTATCAAGTAGTACGTTGTGATCTACTTTATGAAATGTCTTACTGAAGTCCAAGTAAATTATATCCACAGCATTCCTCTGGTCCACTAATTTTGTCACTTGGTCAAAAAATGCAGTAAGATTTGTCTGGCATGATCTGTTTTTGACAAACCCATGTTAGCTTTTAGTAATGATTTTGTTTGCCTCTAGGTGTTCGCTGATTTGTTGTTTGATTATCTTTTCCAGATTTTTCCCAAGTATTGAGGTCAGGCTGATAGGTCTGTATTTCCTGGATCTATTTTTCCCTTTTTTGAAGATGGGAACTACATCACCTCTTTTCCAGTCCTCTGGTAGTTCCCCAGTGCTGCAGGATCTTTGAAAAATATAGTTCAGTGGTTTTGAGATCACATCTGCCAGTTCTGGTCCTGGTGATTTGAACTTGTCTAGGCTGGATAGGTGCTCACTTACCATTTTCTTTCCTATCTTGTGTTTCTAATCTATTTTTTATGGTACTGTTTTTGATAGGTTGGACTGTTTTTTCCCTTCATGTAAAGACATATGCAAAAAATGAGTTAAATAGTTCTGCTTTCTCCCTGTTGCTTGTCACCTTCTTGCCACTTTCCCCCATTAATGGGCCAATCATTTCCTTAACTTTTTTCTTGTTTTTTACATATTGAAAGAAGCTTTTTTTGTTATTTTTGACTTTGGTCACAAGCCTTAGTTCATTTTGAGCCTTAGCTTTCATATATATCACTTCCATATATTTTGATCCTCCATAAAAGATTAATTCGCCGCTTCCATTAGTATAAGGGTGGGGCAGAAATCCCTCTTCTTCCCTTTCGGAGGTAATTTGCTTCTTGGGGATCTTTTCCAGGAAATTAAATATAGAATAGAAAAGAGAAGATCAAATTCCTCACTCAGTTTCAAACACGCTGTTCACAGTTGTGCTGGTTAGTGCTTTTGGACTTCGGTTGCAAGTAGCTTGGGCTGGTTACTGAAATACAGCCAGCCATTATCCTGTTGGTTTAGAAGGCTTTCCCCAAGTCAAACAGAATGACCGTCGTCGTTCTACAGTCGCTGGGGCACCCTTCTTTCTTTGTCGCCTCTCCAGGGCGATTTAGACCCATTTAGGGTCCCCAGGCAGGACAAAATTAGCTACGGGGGTGTGGAGAATCCGCAAGCCCGCAACCGGACACTACCATACAAAACTGGAAGTCCTATAGTCATTTTCTGAAGATTTTCTAATTGTAAGTTTAAGTTAAAAACTTGTACATTTATCTTATCCAGATTATCTTTAGTCTCTTCATGGTTTCTTCTGGAATCTTCTTTATGTGAATCGATTGCAGTATAGATTGCATTTTCTTCTGAAAGTTGTTAGCTTTTTCTCTCTGATATGCCAAGTTGGGAGCTTCAGAGGCAGATATTGGGAATGGTTTTTTACCACTTTTAGCTAGGTATGGAGCACTCATTT